GCTCCTTTAACCTGAGCAGGAAGCTGGGAAAAGTCTTGGCAGCCCCAGGAAAGGTCATGCCCTGTGCCATGGTGGTTGTCTTTGCTTCCTTGTTTTGTGTTCTTGTGCTGAGCTGTGCCAGGAAAAAGGTGCTTGGGTCAGAAGAAGGGGACAGAGCCTGTGCCCAAAGCATCAGGGCAGGCAGGAGGGCTCAGCCAGAGCTGGGAGCATCCTGCAGCACAGCAAGGAGCTGCAAACCCAGCATCTTCAGAGCTCCCAAGACAGGACCACCCCAGCTGCTCACAGAGGGGATCTTGCCAGCACAGCCCAAACAGCTCAGGGAACCTCGCTGAGTGCTAACCAGCTGTGGGCTTCAAGCAGCCTGTGCCTTGCTCACAGTGCTATCATCCATCACCGTATCACAAACTGATGGAGTGCTCCAGGAAGAGTTTTAACTGAATGTGCTGCTACAGATGCCTGCTTCGCGTGAGAAAACAGGGACCTGCAGGGGTCCCCAGAGCACGGCTGGCCCAGGGCTGTCCTTCAGCAGCCCCCCCCTACCCCTGCTTTCCCTACCAGCCCTCCTGCAGCCCTCCTTCCTGCTGTACACAGTAATGAATCCTTGCCGCCTGCTCCCTCATTGCGGGCACAGCAGCATAGCCAGTCAATACAGTAATGAAGCAGCCCCGGCAAAGCCAGGCGAGTGCATGCTAACCTGTGCTCCCAGGCTGAGATCACCCCTGGCTCTCCTGCCCTCTGCTTTTCCCCCAGCAGTCTTGCTCATGGCTGTGCAAACATTTCACATGGCCAAGGCAATCTGCAAAGCCATGGCTTGCAGCCAGAGCACTTCCCTAAAAGCTGTCCTGGTGCCTGAGTCTGGCTTTTCCCTGCAGAAGGGACCCTCCATGTCCCTTCCAATCCAAACCATTCTGGGATTCTATGAGTCTATGAATCCTGGCTCTGTGTTTTCTTGGACAGGGACAGTGCCACATTACTGTGACTGATGGCTGCTGTAGGACACATGGCATCTCTATGGTGGGTTGCTCCCTCCAGCTCAGAGTTGGGATGCTGCCGCTCTGTTAAAAATCTCTCCTGGCCTATGCTTCCCTTGCTGTATGGATAAAGATGGCCCAGAAGATTTTGCTACACCAAGTTGATTCATTTCCCCCAGTTGTATCTCCTATGGAAGCACCACGACTGGTTTGACTTGCAGAAACTTTGTCAACTTCTGGCCAGCAAGGTGCCCACCCTGAAGCTGAATAAGTAAAGCCATTAGCAGAGCTTCCATCCTACCCAGCATTTTCCAGGCTTTGGTTCCTTATAGCCACACTTCAACAGGAACTCAAACACCAGGGACACTGGATCAAAGCAGTCATGCTTACATGATGGTAAGCATCATGTCAGTATAAACTCAAGTTGCTGGCTCATACCAGCCAGAAAGTATTGAAATGCAAACTCTGTACCACCAGGCTTTGTGCCAGAGCACATATCACCTGTCCTGCCACAGGCGGCATAAACCTGGCGTAAAACCATACCTGTGCTACCTGCTCCATATCACACACAACAGAAACACGATCACGTGCCTGTGTGTCTTCAGGACCTCATTTTACAATACACAGGCGTGTGTCCCAGGCAGATAAGCGGCTGAAATAAGACTCAGAATATTGACACTTGCTTCAGTTGCAAAGCAAAATCAGTGGCACCATTGGAGCTATACAGCTATGACCATACTGCAGTTTCTGGCTTGAGATCTCAGGACATGTTCCCTTAACTGAGCAAGGGGAAAGACTCCTCTGGGCTGGTTGCTCTCTGGTTGTTTGCAAGCACCAAGCCTAACCCTCTGATACAAATCATAGAGGTTCAGGGCCTTGTGTAACTCATAGCAGGCAGCTCAGTGAATACTGAGCACTGTTAAACTGCAGTTTTTCCATGCTTTCAGCAAGCACACAACTTTAAATAAGAGCATGGGAACTGCCCAAGCCAAGGGGTGACTGAGATTGGAGCACAGATCACAGAGGCAATAGAGGTGCACACAGGGAGAAGCTGTAGGTATCTGCAGCTAGTACCTAAATGTCTCCCTTGCCCTTCTCTCCACACTGCTGTCACCTCTGGTTTGTCCTCTTCACGCATTACATTTGCCCCTAAGGCTCCCATCACTTCTGCCCCGCACCCTCCATGCACTGGGTCCTGCTCCCCAGGGCTCCCCCACACAGCTCTTCCCAGCCACCCAAAAAACAGGGAAGGAACCGGTTGCAGAGTCAGAAAGGCAAATCCAGACACGACTGACTCCAGGGAGCCTGATTGAAATAACTAATTAGGTTCTCACAGCCATTCACTTGCAAGAGTAAGACCATATCCCACTCCATATTTTCTAATGAATCCCGCTCAATGTTTGCTAATGATTTGTTTAAGCGAGTTTGCAGTGTCTCCAGGCTGCAGCACCAGCGTGGCCCTCTGCAGCCTTCTCCAGATGCTAGGGGAAGCTTTTGATACTCGCTCAAATTTACCTTTCCCTGCTGGTATGCAGGTTTTCTTATCTTTCCCATCACGGCAGTGCAAATTCCACCTCCAGGTGCCATACAGAACAATCCTTCCCCTTCCCATACTTACGCTATTTAGATGCACACAGATGGTTGTAACTTTTTCTTCTCTTTTGAGCATCTCTCAGGGAATCTTAAAGAGGTAAACTCCTCTCCCCCCTCAACCAGCAGAGCCCACCATGGCCCCACAAACTGACACTGGGGCTCCAGACTCTCATTTCACATCCTGGGAGCTGCATTCCCATTACCCACAAGTACTCTGGTCCGACAAACATTTATAGATGCAAACATCTTCCTGGCTGCAGAGTTATACTGAGCTCAGGACTGCCTCTAAATAATGTTTTGCCTGTGTAGAAGTATTAGGCATATTTTGACCAAATCATCTATTTTAATTGTTATTTTCAAAGGCAGTCACTCTGCAGTGATTTTTCTTTTTAAATTATATTGTTTATTGCTTCTTGCTCCATTATCTCTGAGCTGTGTGGAGATATAAGCTTTTTCTCTATCTGTGCTGTTATTTTACAGGAGGCTAAGGTCATACTAACTTATGAGAGTTGCCAAAAGCATGTTTCTTTCTCTATATACATTTTAATACCCACACTTGACTTTTCCCAGTGTTTTATTCTTCTCCAATGCACGTATCTTTCCCTGGGGAATTGCCAGTGCGGCAATAAATCACTGCTAATTCTCTTCCCTGCTACTCACACCTTTCTTTATACAAATTTAATTCTTCACACATTCATTTGTATACCGCTTATCAAGAATGCTTTCTTTAAGAAAAGAACCTGGTCTTTTCCTAGTCACCCTTTTTTTTCCCTTTCCCCTCTTCCCTTTCTTTCCCCTGGAACAAAGTACCCCAATGACTTTGAGCTGACATTGGCTTCACACCATCCCTGTCACACTGCAGTTCTCTGAGATACCTTTGCAGAAAGCCCCTTCTTTGTGCTGCACACCCGTGGCTGCCCATTACCTTACACAGCTTCTTTGCCTGCTATTTTTTCTTACTGGTCTTAAGAAAGTCCGAGTTGCCTCCTGCTATTCCATTCTGTGTTGAGGTTTTGGAAACCTTGGCTCCTTGCGTGCCCGCACTGGAATCACATGGAAGTCTGTGTCTTTTCTTCTTCTCTTCTTGCATCTCTCATGTGCTGCAGGTCTGTAGTCTGTGGAGACTTAATTATAGATCCTTTTAAGATTCCTCTGGGAGCTGTGGCACTAGTAGTTTTTAATATCCCAACAACATTGTCATTAGTATTATTACTTCTACCACTATGATTAGTATACTACAGACAGAAAAAGTGGCTCCAGAGAGGTCAGTCACATCCCTGATTCAAGCAGTTCAATCTAAGGAATCAAATGCAGGTAATAATTGAAGACAGAGATGCTACGCTTGCATGCAATAAAGTGCAGCAGGGCTCCTGCTGACCTGGATGCTGCTGGAGGTGGGGAGCAGGTTTGGGAGGGAAATGAGCTGAGCTGCTGGATAGGGTATTCCAACAGGGCATGGGGCAGTAGAGCCACCATGCCTAGCCACTGCTGGGGAGTGCTGAGTGGCTTAGGGATGAGTGTGTTTCAACCAGTGTGACTCTCCCCTTGTCAAACAGGGTGTTGCACTGTGCCCATAGTGGCGTGAGACAAGCACCTTGCTCACCGTCAGGAGCTCTGATCCTATGTGCTGCACATCACCTGGGTGCTGCTTTGCCAAACTCAGATTAGAGAGCAGAGGTGGCCAAATGGCTTTCAGGGAGCAAAAATGTTCATGATGTTGCTTGGTCACTTCTATCTCTCTTTGACACCACACCTCCACCTACCCCAGTGGAAGCAAGCTGCTGCACTGCATAGCACTTGGCCACCTTAAAGCACTCAAAGTCACTCACATTTTTAGTCTATGAACAATTAAAAACATTTTAAAAAGGTCAAAACTCGCCTTTGTGGGCTGCATGTGAATCTCCATCCTCACCCAGGGGGATCTGGGATGGGGGCAAAGGGATGCGCGTGTGCCCTGTGCTGCCTCAGTTCACCACAGCAGCTGCCGAAGGAGCCAAAAAGCACCAGCTCTATGAGAACGTATTTTGGGTTTCCAGACCTGTGCCCACCATTAATCTGCTGCCCCCTTCAAGCTGTTAAACATCCAGAAATCCTGGGAAAATAGCCAAATTCCCTTTTTACTGGACAATTATTCTGTTGAGGTGAAGATGCCCAAGAAAATCCTCATGTGGGAATAATTTGAGAGCAGTGAAGCAAGGCAGGCTTGTACTGGCTAAGGCTGTCACCCTGTAACAGAAATCACTGCTGCACAACGGGGATTTGCAGCAGCAGGAAGTGGGGAAATCCTGTTCTGAACAATACGGATGGTGCTATCATATCTCCCAGCAACATTCACCAAAAATTAGGGACCAAGGTGAAGAGACGCTAAAGAATGAGAAATTCCATGAAGAGCCCTCCCATTTCTACAAGGGAAAGAAACACAGTCAAAGATTAAAGGCCAGTTTGAAGAGGCATTCATGCGTACTTCAAGGAAGAGATCCAATACAGAAAACAAGAAAAGAACATTTCTGAGAACTTCAATTAAGTACAAGGTAACTTGGAATCATTCCCATCCCTTCCTGAATTTTTCCAGGCTATCTTCTTCTCTTTTACTTTCTGTGAGGCTCTCAGAAAGGCTTTGCTACATCAAAGATACTTTTTGTCTCCTTTGTTCAAATGTATAAATTTGCCTAGAAAAATTAGCAATATCATCAGCAGTGAAAAATAATTTATTTGTAAAAGGAACTAACTTTTGTTTGAACTAGAGCTGGGAATTCAGATAATGTCTATGAATATGTGGAATGAATAGATGGAAGTATCTGAATTTATGGAAATACATGAATTCTCCTTTGCTGACAGAAAATTACAGTCAGGCCCCATTGCAAGCCAAATTAATATTCCACATAATCTCATTCCCACACAGGAGCCCAAAGACACAATTGATCTTGCTTCCACTAAAATCAGTGGGTAAAACTTATGGAGTAGGTCTCCCAGCAGCAGTGTGACACCTGAGCTAACACAGATTCACACCTTCTGCCCGCACCCAAGAAGCTCTGTTACTTCTCAGATTAGGTTTGAATTTATGATCCCAGGCCAGGTCCTTATTTTTCTGCTTTAAGTCACATACATAAAGCTCCATGGGTACATCAGTAATTATGCTTATCACCCAGAGGTCATCTTCTTAGCTCTTCAATCTCCCTCTAAAGCAAGATGTTTTTCTTAACCAAGGTTGCCATGAGAGGCTCCACACTTGCAGTCTTTCATGGAGGAATATTAGTGCTACCAGACATTACTTTTTATTTCTCTTTCAATTGCATTGATTTTTTATCTATTTTATTCCAAGAAGGAGCTGTGGCACCTATTTCACATTCAGAGTCTGCCTCAGGAGCTGTAATAACTTGAAGCACTGGGGATGCTCAAACCAGTGCATAGCTGGAGCAGAGTTAGATTCACAGTTTATCCTGCCAGCTCAATGTCTTCAGCATCTGCTGAGAGAAGGGAAAATGTGGCATCTCTCAGCCTCCTGGGACAGCAGGGTGTCCTAACAGCCCAGAAGTCAGTGTCTCTGGGCACGCATTAGGGGTGATCAGCATTCCTCCCCAACAGGGCTGCTGCTGATGATTTATTAATGTAGCAGTTAGATTCAAACCAGCACGGGAGAGTATCTATCTCAGCTACAGCCAAAACAGGCATGCTAAAGGCAGGCAACTTTTTCCCTTGATATATAAGCAATCTCCACTTCTCAAAACATATCCTAAACTGTGCAACCCAGAGGAAAAAGAGGCTTGACAAAGATTGCACTATTCAACTTTTGCGTGGTAGAGACTTACGCTTGCCTAAGAGGCACAGAGGAGAATGTGGCTTTTCTGAATTGGACAGTGATGCTTGCACGGGGACAAATCAATTTAAAACTACTTGCAATGACCCAGGATTACAAAACAGACAATGACAGTCACTTGCAAACTCACAGCAGCCTCTCATCCCGGCTTCTCCCGTCTCTCATCCTGGCTGCAGAACACGCTGTGCTTTGTCACAAGAAGAGCCTGCTGCTGGCAAAGCTTTATTCTCATGTCTGAGGTGCTCTGTGTGGGGGCAGCAGCTGGGCAGAAATCTCAATAGAGATATAATAAAATATAACAGGGCTAGGAAAAAATAGTGCTTGAAGCACCAGCCTCATTGTTTAGGGAAATTCAGGCTGGGGTAAGACACCAAAATAGTAGATTCTTCTTTCCTACCAGGCATGGTTTGGCCACAGCTCTCTGAGTAAGCAGTACCTGCCTGGTTTCAGGACCCTTTTGCTGGAGCTGGAAGTTGTTTTGGCATGAGAAGGGGATATGCCTCCTGCCTGGTTATCCACCAGTGCCTGGGTGATGGATGGGTGCCCACTGGAACCTGAAGATGGGATTTGTAGCCACTACAGTAAAAAGGGGGTAACTCCAGGGAAGGAAGCCAAGCCTAAAACAAAGGAGTAAGAAAGGGGAGCATGGGTTCCCCTAGAACTTGAGAGAAAAGAGCAGGACCTTGGAAGAGGCAGCAGACGGAAAACAGACCTGGAGTGAGAGCAAGGACCTGGGACTAAGAGCAAGCTCCATCAGTCACTTCTTACAGACTGTAACTCACTGTAGCTCAACATTACTTAGAGATTGGTGGCTTTGGAAAAGAAACCACAAGTCATTAACTTTGATCTGCTAATGGGTCAGCTCAGCTGAGAGCACTGATTTTGTTGATAGGTATTATGTGAAGAGTATAGCCACCAATATGGACAGAAGTGGCTGGAAAATGTTGTAAGGATGATCTGAAAGAAATTTTATGATGGGGAAAATTATGACAGGGGAATTTATTATGGCTGGAGCCAGGGAGCTGTCAGTGTGGCTGAGGAACCTCATACAGGCCTAGAAGCTGTCTCCCTTCTGCCAGTATCATACTAATGGTGCCTGCACCAGCGCATATCCTGCGACCAGACAGTCCCAGTCTTCCTTCTTCAAAGAAGGGGTGATTAAGGTCTTCTGGGACAATCTATGTCCTCTCCAGGACAAATGCAGAGGTAGGTTGCCAAAAGCAAACCAGATCTCATTTACCTTATACTGAAACCTTCAAAGTCTTACTCAAATGAGTATTTCAAGTTGTGAACAGGGTGTATTAGAAGCCAGCCCAGGATGGGTGGAGCATGCTTCAGGAACTGTCTTCTGCAGCATGCCTGAGGACACAGAGCAGCTTAAAAGCTAATGAGCATTGCTGCAGCCCTCCTGTTAGCTAGGCCAGAAGTCTGGAGCACTATGACTTAGCCTAGAGATCTCTGACATTGAACAAGAGGTGTTGGGTGACAGAAGACACAAGGGAGATTACCAGAGTTATGACGACTACTAAAGACAGAAATAGAAGGACCAGTGGTTAGGACCACCATGATCACGTTGGGATTCTGATGATAAAAACCACAGTGGCATGTTCTGTGTAGAAGAGGACCTCCTGCAGCTTCTTGGGCACAGTTCTTCCTAAATCCTGTTTGGCAAGTAGTGACCATGTGCTTGGCATATCGGCTATAGACTTGTCCTGATGAGGGAAAGCAGTCACCATCGAGGCAGGCAGTGCCAACACACATCAATCCCCTTATCTTACATTTGCTGCCAAACACAGGTGAGGACTGGTCCCTTTAAGCTGCTCAGTGCAAATCCTGTCCTTGCCCTTGCTGCATCTTGACCTGCTCAGATGAATGTACAAGTGTAAATCTGTGCCTGTGCAGGTGCTAACTCTTCAGCGCTTGAGTTGCATAACCTGATTGAGGGGCTGCTGAGGTAGCTCTCATTTCTCATGTGGCCACAGGATAAAATATCACTCCCCATTCCAGCTTTCCTCCACTCTCCTCCGACATGGCATTAAGTGGTGTGGGAGGCAGAAAATATGACATCATTTCTCTTTAAAAAGGGCACAAGGAACCGGAGACAAGAAAGTGCTTTCTGTGGCAGGCAAATCAGAAGAGACTGTAATATACAACAGAATGAACATGAGCCTAGATAGACATGGATATATTGGGGAAGAGTCAACAGGGCTTCTCCAGGGGAAATCATATCTCATAAATCTATCCAATTTATTTGAAGGTGTCAATACTGGTCTGGGTAAGGATTAGCTGGTGCTGTAGTTAAATTGCATTTCCAGAAGTTATATTCAAAGTCTCTTACAAAAGGCACTTGGAGACACTATGATGTTACAGAGTAACCCTCCACAGATTTATAAGTGCTTAAAAACATATAAGCAAGGGAAGGATAACTGCTCGGTGTTCATGGTGGCCAAAGACCACCAGGTCCCTTGGAGGCCTGTCCTGGGATCTGCACTGTGACGCACTCATCAATGATCCGGAAAAGTGGTGGATAATGAAGTGACAGTGTTTGCCTATGTGACAAAATTATTCAGGATCATGAAATCTAACACTGACAGTGAAAAGCTCTGGAGGATCTTCCAAGACTGAGTTACTGACAGTGAAAGAGAAGATGAAATTCAGTGTAAATACATGTAAGGTAATGTCAGTGAAGGTGAGGAAAAAAGATCCAGAATGGCAACCAAGCTTAAACAGACTATTAGCTCTGAATTAGCTGCCTCCACTCATCCAAGAGCACACAGAGCACTGTGGAAGGTGCCCTGGGAAATTTTCTCAGACCTGTACCTAAGTCAAAAAACAAACTGGATGTTGGGCACTGCTCACAAATGAGATAACAGTACAGGAATTGTCATCATGGTCAGCCACAGTCCATCTTTGTTTTGAATACCAAGTGTATGTCTGATCCTGGATCTCAAAGAACACAGCATAAAGAAACCAACCCCAAAACAAGAGAAAAAGCTGACCCAGTGATGTTCCTGATGTCATGATACTGAACAGGCCAAGGTTATTCAACTTGGATAGGCTATGGAAATCTAGCCCAAGTGTTTTGGAGAAAGAAAATTGGAGTTGGTAGCTCCCTCTTTCTGACATTACAGTAATAAATGAAAGCATCAGGAAGCAGATTTAAAATGATGACTTGGAAGCACTTTTTCCACACAGGGATTTGTGCATGTCAAACAACACATGGTGTGCTCAAGGTGGACAGGTCTGTCAGTGGCACAGACACAGCAGTCTGGCTGTCACCAGCAGCCTATGATGCTCCGATGAGCTGCCATTCACCACCGTGCCAGAAGCACTCAGCGCTGGGCTGGTTTTCATACTCTTTGCTGTAGTGCATGTTGCTGGTTGCTGGTCACGGGTAGAATACCAGGTGTTGCAGGTGTTTGATCTGCCCCATGGTGAGGGGTCCAGGACCTTTTTGTGAGTGTCCAAGGGTAAGCCACAGGAGAATCCACTGTGAGGGTTCTTCAGGTATAGCTCAAATGCTCCTTGATATTGGGGGTTGGAACTAGATGATCTAAAGGTCCTTTCCAATCCTAACTATTCCATGATTCATCACCCAAATCAGAGCTGCAGCCCATCTGGCCTCAGCAGAAATGCTGTACCCAGCTGCTTCAGGTTCAAATCTAGTATAACGTGTGAGAACGCAGCTGAGGAGCACAGCAGAAGAAATCTTTACTTTTCTCTGGCAGAGAAAAAAATAATCTTTTATTATATATAAGTACCAGAATTATTCAAACAGAAATGTGCTGCAGGAGCCAGGTCTACAGACAGAAACTCAGAGGAACAGATGAAAGTGTGTGCTGTAGAGCACTGAAAGGATGCACAATGAAAGGCCACCTCTGCTGCTCCATCTCTGGAGGCCAGGCAGGAGGGACTGCTGCCAGTCCTGCTCTCAGCTGAATTCCAAAGTGGTCCCTTCTCTTCAGGATGCTGAGGTAGCACTCGGTTCCCTGGTGCTTGACTCTCCTGTATGCAGCATTTAATTCCTTCCTTTCTTCTGTTTTCCAGAGAGACACAATTAGAAGTAACCCGTCAGAGGAAAATAACTAAAACTCACGCTCTGCCTAAAAGTCTGTTTCAAGAAGAAAGAAGATTGCGTGTGAAGAAAACGCTCACCAGTGAGGTTCGACATCAAAAGGATGCTTTGCATGGACTAAATAGAAGTATTCATTTTTCATACATGCCCAGATTCACAGTGACACTGGTTAGACTTTCATACGACCACACTTTGTTTACTTAAAAGCTTGAAGGAAGGGAAAATGTCACAACTGCTCATGTAAGGCAGCCCGTGCACCAATCGGACACATCCAGCATGGCTGTTTGTACAAGCAAAAATCTCCCAATAGGCCAAGAAATGTTCGCATAAATCATCTGCCCAATCATTTAAGAGGCTGAATAATTCATAGAAAGGCAAATGTGTTCACAAGCAATTCATATGAAGAGCTAGGAGCAGCGCTGAAGGAATAGATTTGCTGTTCACTATGTCTGTGAACCTGAACATGCTTTTCTTCGGCTTCGACTTTCACAAATGGGGAGCAGTTCTATAGGTCCATCCCTCAAAATGTGACTGGTTGTCACCTACCCCAAAATACCGGTTCACTCCCTTTGCCTCTCCCAACATATGAAAACGACAACATCTCCACAAGCAGTGGTGCTAGTTAGTGTGGCACATCTGAGTTACTTAATGGGAGTTTTATTTCTTCTTGCTTCATTTCTTATTTCTTGAGGCTCGTGATGGAGGCACAGAACTGATTTGCTCGAGCTCTACTGCTCTCAAAGACTTGTGTCTGTCCATGTTGAGTATGTCCGTGCTCTGCCCTCTTCCTCTGTTTCTCCAGCTGTGAAATGGTGAGGAGCTTATTGAGCAACTGGGAAGTTTTTTGATATCTAGATGGAACATGGGATTTGTATCAGTCAAGCTCTACTTCTTACCCCCACTCCTATTTGAACCTAAGGCTCGTGGGACAGTGCTGGGACACACAGACAGACAGGCAAATGTGCTGGTAGTGCTGGCTCTACCTTCTCCTGCCCCAAACTTGTACCTCCAGCACCACCAGCAGAGGTAAGGGGTCTCTATCAGGGTCCTCTCATCTAGACAAACAGTCCTTAGGAGGGAGAAAATGGGAACATAAGTCATCCAGGAACATCCTCGATAACTTTAGACACATCTTTGGGGGGAAAACTCAGGGGTTTTGTTGGTTTGCTGTTTTATTTGTTTGGGGTTCTTTTTCCAGTGTCAGGTACAGCAGAACCAGACTCAGTCTCTTTAGTCTTGCATGAGATGCGAGGTATAAATAGAAGCAAAAGGATTCCTACAGATATATATCTATCCTCAGAAAAAGATTTTGTGCAGCTTCAAGTAATGCTGCGTGCTCAGCTGTCAATTCTGTTTTCCAGGACCCCTTTACAGGTTCTTTCCTAAATCCTTTGAGAAAGTATTGCCAAGAGAAGCGTGTTCATCCTGCCGGATCCCCAGGCAACAACAGTTTCTAGAAGTCAAAACTGCCTTTCCCAAGGAGAGAGTTTCCTTAGCAGAAATGTGGCTTCTCTAGAAGATTTTAGAGCCAATTCCATCCTTGGACTGATCCAGGACAATGATCTTCACCAGTCTAGAAGCTGCCCTTGTCCTGCTGTCCATCTGCACAATGGGCTGCTGATGCACCATGCGTGCACCTCTCCCTCTGCGCCTAGCCCCTGCTGTTAAGAAACATTAATTACACTGAAGGCTGATGAAATATGATTACATTTTTCTCTTCGTTAAACATGATATAGAATCGTAATTCACATATATAAAATAGTTTCATTCCTTTTTTCCCCCTGTTTGCTTTGGAATCATTTCATGGTGTCGACAATGTAGGTTTAGCAATGCCGTCTCCTCCTGCAGAGCCAGTCAGCCGCCAGTACCCTGCAATTTTAATGATCTAATCTGACAGCCAGTATGCTTTAATTTAAAGTTTTATTAACGACCACTTTCTACCCTCAAAGACTATATTAAAATTTGTTAATGGAATGGGAGATTATAAATGCCCCACTGCAAGGCCCACTTGTGCTGTTCTACACCACCCCCTTTAGAATTCGCAGCAATCCTATTAACTCTTCTTTATGTTTTGTATAGGTCATTTTGATTGCAGGGTTTTTGTGTACTTCCCTTATGAGATAGCGTTGCCCGAATCGAAGCATTTGAAAGAATATAATTTTACAAAAGATCACATATTTCAGATTCATTATCCTTCAGCACTGAGCTTAAAATTAAATTTCTTTGACTTTCTGCAAAGTTTTTGAATCTGCTGGGGGAATGGGAATGAATTCCAGGGGCAGCATCAGCCTGTGTGACAGAAGTGACAGAAGCCACCCCAACCGCTATTGACAGAGGAAGAAGAGGAGAGAGGAGGATGTAAAGAGTTGTGCCACTCAGAGACATAAAGCTGCAGGATGAGGACATTCAGTTGTCCTCCACATGCTTGGAAGCATAAAGCCCTTTACACAAAACACCTCACACCCTGTTAGTATGTGAAGGTTGCCTCTGTTAGCCTGGCTTTTAATAAGCATCTTGAGACTCTTCACTAGGTCTTTCAGAGTGCACTTGTGTGTCAGGGCCCCACAGTCAACCGACCATGAAAGGGATCCCCCATCCCCATCATTTATCTTGTGTAAGGAGTCAGTAAAAGCATCACCACTCTCCCAATATGCACAGATCCCAGCCCCAATGCTTATTGTTTGTCTCAGGAAATGCACTATTAATCATTTATTCTATAGACTTAATTTCTCACAATTCTCCCCTCTTTATTTTCTGTTGCTATTGTTCCTTTCTCCTGCTTAAACATTTCAGCCACCCAGAGAAAAGGCAGAAACAACATCAGGTTCTCAAGAAACCAAACAATCAATCAGTTCACCAGCTTCACAATGGGACTCAATGGGAGCAGCAGGGCAGCTGCCTGTTGTTTGAATATCACTCACCCGAAAGGCTTGGCCAGTATACAGAAAAAGCAGTTATTCACAGGAAAAAAAGAGGTAGGTGAAGGACACAGAGGGGGATTTCTAAGTGGAAATTTTTACATTAGAGATGTTTACACTTGAGCTACTCACCTGGCCTCCTTCTACAGCTGATGAAAAGACACTGAAACGTAGGGTGCAACTCATCTGATGCATTTGAAATATCAACCCTAGGATAAAACAAACCAGCCATGCTGTGAAGTGCTCATTTCTCTCCAGCCTCCCCTAAAAATAGCCTGAACAGTTGAGTGGGGTGCAGCACAGACCACTGAACTTAAAGAAAACGTACTCCCCCCTTTGTAGGGAGCGCCATGACCAGATCCCTGAGGAAAAGGTTTTCCTGTCTGGCAGGTAAATCCTACTGCCCCACTCCCTGACTGGTCCACACTTCGTATGAACCTGAGTATAATCAGTGGCAGGAAGAGCACTGGACTGGGTGGAACATCCAAGAGCCACACAGCCCCTCTTACATCAGACTTATAAGATTTATTGTTTGCCTACCTCCTGCTTGGCTGTGACAGCCCATGGTGTCTAATAAATCAGCATTGCCAGTAGGTAGTCAGCTCCTTTCCATCTTCCTTTCCTCACCTTCATACTCATTATCCTACATACTGTTGTTCTCCACTTAAGCCCCTTGAACTGCTGGTGAGTTCCCCTACCACTATGGCATTCACGTACTCAGTCCTTGGGTGATTTCCCTACCATCACCTCCGTACCACCACAGCACCAGGCTCTGAGCCCTGCTCCTTTCTCCCTTTGTCCTCTGAAATCCTTCCAAACTCATCAGCTGTGCAGTGTGAGTTCTCCAAACCCCACCTGTGGCAAGGGGGAGGTTCCCATTATTGAGCCCCCCTTCAATTGGGAGCACTCCTGTTACTTAATGGGTAGGATTTCCCCACCTCCACCTCCAGCTCCTGGTCAAACTGTTCCTCACAAAGTTGGGTGGACCTTCCTCTGGTTGACATGGTTTAGCCACTTTTGGTTTAATTCAGGCAGTTTTCCATGGGGATGTGGAGCCAGTGTTCACAGTAGAAGTGCAGAGAAAAATCACCATATCTTGATGCTGTGTGACATGAAGTCAATGGCACTGAAGTGCTTTGTGGTGGGATGTTCAGCACGTTGGGTATTTCTTTCTCTTAATGACCTAACAATCCTGATGTGGTTTCCTGCCGCTGGCTCCTCCCCAGCCCTTGCAGCGCCATCTCTGTGAGTGTCATCACTCTTGGATCCAGCCCATCTCTGTGCCATGACCTTGCCCTCTTTGGGTTGGCAGCCTGTTACACGGTCAGGAAAGACGAAGCAGCTCACCATGTCAGGAGCATGGCTCACCAGCCTCAGCATCCCAGCTTGCACATGCCCGAACACGTGCCATGATTTCATGCTCTCACCCACACCTAACAGGCTACATTAAGCTGGTGTATCCATTCCATTTGCTCCCTAAAAGATCACCTGACCAGGGCACAGGAACAATAGTGCATGACTGCAGAATTCAAGTCAAGCTGACATGAATTGTGGGCACGCAGTGCAGAATTTCTCTTTTGTGAATATTTGTGTGTTAAAGTTACAGATTTGCCTTTTCACCATATTTGCAATAGCTCTGCTCAAATATTTGTGGAGACTGAACACAGCCTAATTGAAATTCAGTTGAATTCAAATTAATATTCATGATTCTTCCCCCCCCCCCCTTTCCCCTCTTCATTCGGCTCTAAATGGAAGCAGCTTCCTGCTGCGGAGGGGACAGCTGTAAGCTGGTAGACTCCTGTAAGGGTGAAAAGTTTGGCAATCCACTTTGAATTCCTTGCAGCAGCTGCACGCTGGATGTCACTGCCATCCCCAGCGTTTGCATGTATTGACAGGCAGGGCTTGAGCTCCATCAGTTTGTGCCTGTGCTGGGTGGGTGCTGGTTGCTGGAGATGCGCAGCACCTCGCTCTGCATCACTGCTCGCGCCACCTGCTCCTTCCTCCTTGGCACCCAGCACCCATCACAACAACTGTGCCCTCTGCAATATTGATCACTCCAGCTTACAGCTCCAGGCCCCTGCAAGGCTGCCCTCCAAGAAGCAGCCAACCTCCCACTAATTTAGCTCCTGTGAGGCATGAGCTTGCCATCAACACAGTGCGGTTGGGACTTCTCCAAGAGGGAAGGGCAGAGATTTGTGGCTCTCTGGAAGCAGAAAGGGATTTGGGGACATTGTTTATTTGTAGCTGTGCAGGAGCAGGGCTGAGCTCACTGAGACCCCAAGCCCATCAATTCCTTTCATGATCATTGATCTATCGAAAGTGAAGCAGAATGTGATGCACCTCTATAAAGCATCATTTCCAGACCTTATCCACTTTTCCGTGTCTAGTCAGACTGCTGCGCTCCGTCTGCCACTAAGGGAATCTTGCACAGGGAGATTAGAGATGCCTGGCACAGTAAAACCTTCCTCCAGTCACCCAGGAAACATAAGACATTTTTCTTCTTCTTTGGAAAAACGTGGAAATTAAATTGGAAGCTCTACACGGATGCAGCTCTACCCAGATAAACTCAGACTGTCAGGATGCAGATGTTCCTGTGGACTATTGTGGCTCTCATGCTTTTCAGAACATCCCAGGTAGTCTGCAAGTGCTTTTCATCAGGTGTTTATGGTCCCCAGTAAAGCACTAAGATAGAAATATTATAAACTACACATTTAACAAGAAAAATACAGGGACGGTGAAAAATACCCAGAGGCATTGCAATGCTTTGAACGATCTCAGAATCATCTCAGATGTATTTTTTTCTGAAGACGGGCTTTTACCACTACTGACCCTGTAGACAGCCCCAAACACTGTTTGTTTTCCCCTTGATTTTTAATCCCTTCTATGCCTCATGGCTGCAACACCTAAAGGAAATGGGGGCAGGTGCAGCAGCAAGGCAGCTCTTCTCCTCAGGTACATGGGTAGCAGAGCTAAGGCAGGAGTTCTTGCAGCAAAGAGGCTTTACAGCTCCCCAGCGTCGTACCCCTTCCCTGCTTTAGCAAGGAGAAAAGCATAAGACAAATTTATCACACCTCTAAATACCAGTGTAGCTGAACATGGATTTTAAAAGTCACCCTAATGCTACAGCCCCAGTCAAGCCTCTGTGGCATATCATCACCACAAATCATGGTTAGGGCTTCCCAAGCACCATGTTTGCATTTCCATACCTTACCGCCTTGCTGGAGATAACGGTAATGCCCTCAGGCTGCAAAACTCAGCATTAAATCCCATGGTAGAGCAAAGGAGAGCTGGGAGGAGGGATACCCAGGATTTAAAATATCCTGTTTTCAGGGCTATGATTTTATAACAAGGTTTCATGTTTGGGTGGAGAGTTTCCACTCTGATTGCATCTCATTAAAGTCATTGTCTAAACTGGAGCACAGGCACTGCTGGACTGCATCAGCTGAGGGATCCCTCTAAGCCAGAATATTGTCTCTGGTGTCAATTGTTTCAGGACAAGCAGGACCTCTAAAGTAAGTTCTTTAGAGATGGCTTATCACCAAATCAGCTTTCTTCTCACTCCTCCAGTGTTTGTACCCCTAGATTCAGGGTTAGGATGGTAGCAGCACGCTGTGGTGCCACAAACCGGGAAGAAGCAGTGGTCCAGGTGAAAGAAATCACCTGGAATATGTTTGTAATCATCTCAGTAGACAGCTCTGTGTCTGAACATCTGGGCTTCCTTTGGAGGAAGACTCCTATGGTAATGGGCTAATTCAGGCTAGCAGGGACCTCCGAGTGTCACCTAGCCTGACATCATCCCACCTTTCTTAGATGCCTGCCTTAGGGTGGAAGGAAATGTTATTTGAAGGCACAGCAAGCTATCTTTTAGGAAGCAAACTTGAGGGGAATTGAATCATAGCCATGTACTGTGCCTTAATATACGTGCACAAAGGGTTGAGCAGGCAGCCTTAAATCTGGGTAATTTTTCTGCCTCAATACGTTTGCTGTATTTCCACTTTAGCTGCTCTTCCTTCTCCTCTGGGGAGATTTCTAAAGGAGTGCCAGGCAGAAGGTGCAAGACCGAGACATCTCTTAAGCTGCTGCCACCTCATCTCTGTGATTGTGAAGTCCTGCAAACAGAAAGGGAATGAGACAGGGTAAAAGGAGTTAATGAAGAGCAACCCAAGGTGAGACTGGTCCCCCCCATGCCCATGTACTCTCAGCATCACAAGGATGGATCTCAGCATGCACTGACCGTGTCACCCATGTCTCTGGCAGCACAAGGCTCACCAGCAGCAGTTGCTGGGTTTCTTTATGAAACAGAGGCACAGCAATTGCTGCTGCCCTCCAGCCCTCTGATCCCACACTTGCTTTGGCAGCGAGATGAATATTGTTGCAGCTCACCCGGCAGCTCAGCCACTGTATTACTGGGTTTCTTCAAAACCCCTGAATGTCCCATCTAGAGCCAGTGACTTAATATCTTTTAAATTACCTATTTGCACCAGCGCCTCTTCATTTGATACCTTAATCCTTAATAGCAACTCACCTTTATTACCAGAAAAGAGCAAGTCAAGAGCAGATTTCTCCCAACATCCCCTGAGGTGAGAACTTATGAAATGAAATCATTTCACTTCTCAGCTGTGTCCTCATCTTCCTTAATTGTTCCCTTTAACTCCTGGGGAGCCAGCAGACCTGTCTCATTCCTTTGCAGGTTTTCCTCTTCCTGGCAGACTTGAATTATCTATTGTTTGCTTCCGTTCCTACCAAGTCTTGTTATTTCTTGCTGGCTTCCTGTTTCCCCTCTTTCATGGTGTATTTTCTGCCCCTGTTTGTTGACCTTGTGAAGGTTGGATTTCCATTTTTTGAAGGACCATTGTTGTGCCGAAACACCTTCCTGAACCCTGCCATTTACCTGCCTTTGCTCCTGCCTTCCTCCCGTGCTCTCTGATCAGACCCAGGCAGGCAGTTTGAGCCTTTGGTACTGTCAGGTCCTGGTATAGCTAAGCATATGCTGAAATCTCATTAATGGCAATTGAAGCTGAAGCATGTGGTTAAGTACCTTGCAGAAGGTAGCTGTTTTGCTATGTCACTCCTTAAAGAGCATCCATGCCAAATCTCAGCATTTTAATCTCTTTACTTCTGACTCTCGATGCTGTCTCCTGGCTTCCTCATTCTGTTGAAATCTCTCTGTCTAAAGGTTAGCATCACTCTGATAGGACTTGATCCTCTTCTTTCCTGAGGATGATGAACATAATTACATTCTTAACAAGTGAATTAAATTACAGCATGATTTCTCTAACAATGAGAGCTCTCCCCACACTGTGCTGGAAGGAGCCTGCGCCGTGCTTCAGGATGAGTGAATTGCCTCCATTCTAGCCCATGCATTATTGGGACTTTAAAAATTATGTCTTATTCATCTGTTGATGACAGTGGCCTCTTGGGTGTAAATTGAAGCAATTACGAAGGATCATGCAAATTAATCAATGATTTTCAGATTATTGCATTCAAGCTGTAGTCTTGCTCTTCGATTTCGTTAAACTCTGCTCTGAGTCAATTTCCAAACCTCCAAATTAAGCTATTTATTAGCTAAGTAGATATGTTACAGAAAAAAAAGTTACACTCATTAATTGAACAGTAGAAGGGGTCATTTTAAAATGAGTTTAATACATAAACTGTGATATTTAAGAACAGAGGTGCCAGTCCTGACCCCAGTGTGAGTGGGATGTTTGGGATCATGTGAAACACAGCTACATGCTCCCAGCTCCATGCATAAATCTCAGTGCAGCCACAACATTGAAGTCACAGTGCTTTAATGG